TAATAATTAATATGATAATAATAAATATAAATAATAATAATATAATAATGATAATAATAATAATAATATATAATAATAATAATGATAATAATGATAATAATCAAATAATAATAATGATAATAACAATGATAGTAAATTAATAATAATTATAATAATAATAAATAATAATAAATAATAAAAATAATAATGATAATATAATATAGTTAATAATAATAATAATAATAATAATATAATAATAATAATAATAATAATAATAATAATAATTAATAATAATAATAATAATAATAATGATAATAATATAATATATGAAATAAGAATAATAAATAATGATAATAAGTAATAATAGTAATAAATAATAATAATAATAATGATAATGATAATAATAATAATAATAATAATATAATATAATAATAATAATAATAATAATAATAATAATAAAATAATGATAATAATAATGATAATAAATAATAATAATAATAATATATAATAATAATAATAATAATAATAATAAATAAATAATGATAATACAATAACAATATAACAAAAAAATACAATCAAAAAAAAGCAAAGAAATCTTTTTTAAAATCCCTTACCTGTCCTTTGAGCTGGTTCCTCTGTCCTCTCCCCCCTTCCTTTCCTGTTGCTCTGTTGGTCTCTCTGAGTCTGCTGTTTGCTGCTGCTGCTCCCCTTGGCCACGAGGTCCAGCTGCTTCGAGAGTTTGGTGGTGAAGTCGGCCTCGAATCTTCCCTGCTTACGTCGCCCTCCACCTCGACCTGAGGAGAAGGGAGGTCTGTTGAGAGTTGTTACTCAATGTTTTATCTCTGTTGGCTTTGTCTGTCTGTCTTTGTCTTTCTTTCTGTTCATTTCTCTTTTTCCCTCATCTATCTATCTCCGTCTATCTGTCTGTTGTCTGTCTGTTCATTTTCTCTTTTTCCCCTCTATCTATCTATCTTCGTCTGTCTGTCTGTGTCTGTCTGTCTGTCTCTCTCTCTCTCTCTCAGTCTCAGCGTCTTTCTCTCTCACACACACGTTCACACATTTTTATGTGTCATGTACATGTGCTGATCGCCAATATAAAAAAAACTTATTACCTATGAATTTATTTCCAGCATTCCATCGTATTTTCAATTTGCTTTTATGTCATCATCCCCATTACTCTGATTTGTACTTAATTTATTGACTTCCTAGTTTTCTTTTCCATTCAAAATCATACCGACATATATGATAACCATTTGGGGCAAGGGCTATCACCACCACCCATCATCACAACCCCTATAAACACCCACCCCCACATCCACAACAACAGACCCCATTCTACAACCCCTATAAACACCCAACACAATACAACCCTTCCCACCATAACCCCCAACAGACAGAGAGAGACATATATAAGGGGACTGAATATTGTTCAGTAAATCTATGTGTTAAATATTGGATAAGAAAACAGAGCAAAAAAGCTGATAAAGGTAAGAAGCGTTTTGATAATCACCATTAATTCACCCAATCACAAAATCAATAGACAGACTAAGAAGTCAACTTATTATCCCATAAAACCATCTCGCTGGTGTCGTTCTTCGTGAATTCCTCCAAAATTACCGTCTGGTTTTACACGCCAGCACGGACACCCTCATGAACCCACATGACCCCCCCCCCCCGTCTGTCACTGCTGTCTGATATTTAACATCTGAATAACACAATCATAACCATTTTTTTTTTTTTTTTTTTTTTTTATACAGGACACTCTATCATTGCGGTTTTATACGATGCCTCATTTTGAACGACCAACCTCGTCTTTAGTGCCAGAGAGTTACGTAATAATTCACATTACGTGTATTCCGGGGACGCTTTCATGCACCCTTCCCTAGCCTTCTTCTCTGCCAATCACGCTTACAAGAGCAGTCGGAACGAGACCCGGCCGTTCTTCAGCAAACAAAGAACGGCTTAAAGAATATCTCCGTCTTTTTGTTCACGAGAAAGAGTGAGTCTATACTTACCTCGTCCTTTCCCAGATCATTAACGAATTATGATTACCTGCACTTGTATTTTGCCTCCCCATCAAGGCAGGTTTAATCATAGCGATTTCGGGGTGAAATCAGCTCTAATGATACTGGCATTAGGGTCGTAAATAGCGTGGGACATGAGCATCTCCAGCGCTGCAGTAATACCATGACGCAACACTATTGGTATCATCAGCTGATCAATAATGGTATTACGATATTAGCCTTTCCTGGGTAATGGAATTTTTTTATGGTGCTTTGTCATTAGCATTTACTGTTTATTATTGGCTTTGGGTTATAAAGAAATGTGTGTGTGTGTGTGTGTGTGTGTGTGTGTGTGTGTGTGTGTGTGTGTGTGTGTGTGTGTGTGTGTGTGTGTGTGGTGTGTGTGTGTGTGTGTGTGTGTGTGTGTGTGTGTGTGTGTGTGTGTGTGTGTGTGTTTGCGTGTATGTGTGTGTATATGTGCCTGTGCTTGTGCTTACGTGTTCGCGTTCTTCTGTGCTTTTGCTTCTGTACGTGTGTATATGTGCGCAAGCAGAATATATACGCTATGTATGTGCGCCCATGTGTATACATACATATACTGTCATGTGCGTGTAGTAGTGTAACACGAAAACCAACATAACAAACAATGTTTAACTTTTACAGCACTTATGACTTGGCTGCCATGCGTCGGCCGGCTATTAGAATCTGATGTTTTATGGTTATCTTATCTTAGCCTCTCAACGACTGAAGTTTATGGACTGATAATAAAATTTATGATGTTTATTTTTTCGACCCACGGAAGGGCGGATTTTAACGTATAGTGAAGAGAGTGTTTCTCATGATTGTGTGTCTTCCATACATGGATATAGACAAATATAGAAAATCTGATGTGGCACACACACACACACACAAACACACACACACACACACCACACACACACACACACACACACACACACACACACACACACACACACACACACACACACACACACACACACACACACACACACACACACACACACACAACACACACATATATATATATATATTATATATATATATATATATATATATATATATATATATATATATAATATATATATATATATATATATATATATATATATATATATATATATATATATATATATATATATATATATATATATATATATATACACGTAATAGTAATAATTATGATAATAATAGTGATAGTAATAATAATGACAATAATATCAGTTATAATGATGATGATAAGAATGATAATAATAAGGATAACCAAGCTAATAAGAACAGCAATAATAACCATAACATTAACAACCATGATATTGATAAAGATAATGAAGATAAGATGACAATAATGAAAAGGATAGCAGTTATGGTAATAGCAATAACTGCAAGAGATATCTGATACAATAATGATAAAATGATAATAGTAGCACTGTGATAATGATAATGATGAATAATGATAATGATAATGATAATGATAATAATGATGAATTAATGATGATAAAAAGTCATGACTTTTTCCTATTATCAGGACACAAATTTCGTTATTAATACAACCATAAATCTGAATGACAGAAAATAATATGCAGATTGTGCGTGTTTATAAACATTAAACTATCATTTTGAGATAATAACTAAATGATAAAATTGGGTTGATTTCAGATTTGATATTACACATGCTATCAAAATAAATAAACAAATAAATAGATAAAAATGAATTGAAAAAAAAAATCAAGAAAAAATAGATTAAAACATATCAAATCCACTTTTTTTATTTTAATTTATTTTATCAATTTATTTATTTATTTATTATTATTATTTTTTTTTTTTTGGGGGGTGTCTATAGAGAAATATAGTTGGCTGAAACAATTTAGTTTTTTTTCTTACTGTGCTTGTGTTTCATTTCATTTCGCCTATATTTTTTTTCAGTCCTATAAAAAATTACACCAGATACATTGTAAAATGAATAATATTTCAAACAAAATATCTAAAAAGAATGAAAACAAACACAATATAGTGTGCGTGGACTAAAACAAAGTGTCATTAGTGTTTTTTGTTGTTCCTTTTAATCAAATTTAAAAAATCAGTTTTATTTTAGATATAATATATATATATATATATATATATATATATTATATATATATATATAGATAGATAGTATAGATAGATAGATAGATAGATAGATAGATAGATAGAAGATAATAGATAGATTAATTAAATTGAAAAAAAAAAAAATAAATTAAAAAATTAATAAATTCTGACAACGGGATTACATCAACGATTTATAATAATAACAATATCTCGTATGTAATTCCTCTTTTAAACCCCCTTCCACCGCAGTCTGATGAGAAGAACGCCAACGTCAGCCAAGAGATCAGCCCGTCAGCATTAGCGTCAGTCAGCCCGCTAAGCTTTGGGAAAAAAAATTATCGATTTCAAAATGATTGCAGTGATTGGAAACCGTCTCAGATTTATCGAAATGGGTCTCTCTGCGTCTGATTTCCTCGGTTTTAATCCTCTATTTGTGTTGGATTTAATCTTTAGATGATTATTTCATGGGCTTTGTTTCATTAGCATAAATCGAGCTTTGTTACTGACGCGAACTAACTTTTTGATTATGTGAAATGAATTTTACAAGAGCGGGTAATTCTGATTAAAAAATGGGATAATGACAATAGCAATAAAAATAATCACACGGGATCTACAATAATCAATGAGATAATGATGTTGTACTACAATATCATCAATTTGCATAAGAAAATGCAGATTATAACGAAAATCATTATTACTGTAACACTGACGTAAGTGAAGTCTCATATCCACAGTATTAATCAGACCTATGTCTGGCCTGTTACATACTCCGCTGGTGACCGCTTTTCCCGTCGCACACTTAATCATAAGGACTAAGAGCGGGTACCCTTCTAACTAAGGGCTCTTCTATAGACAGGTGCGTGGTCGTCAGGATGTCCTTCCTAATTCTATCCATGGTTAGGACTCAATTCCGTGGCGGTTAGAGATCATTTGGTATCTAACCTCTAATGCTTGTCTACTTGTGCTAAGTTGGTTATAGTATCTCTCTCTCTTCTCTCTCTCTCTCTCTCTTCTCTCTCTCTCTCTCTCTCTCTCTCTCTCTCTCTCTATATATATATATATATATATATATATATATATATATATATATATATATTATATATATTATATTATATATACACACACACAAACATGACGCAAAACATAGATTAGTGAAATGGTAACTGGAAAGCGACGTAAGGTCCTAATAGTCATACATAATTCTAACTCCAATTATTCTAGATTATGGTATATCAGTAACACTATTTTTATAAATGAGAGAGAATCCAAGAGCTCAAGAAGATGACAATAGGATTAAAAAGCCTTAAAATATCTATCAATAAATTATCAGGGCATTCGTAAGTTTGTCTAAATCACTTCAATAATTAAGGATATATTATGCCAGATGCAATGGCCAAGGCATAATATTAGTGCAGGAAAATATCAATTAATTCTAATTATTTTGAAAAAAAATAAACACACATGGTTAAAGTTATAGCAATAATAACGTGTCCGTTTTCCTCTTATCACGAGAGTATGGAAAGAACGGGTTATCTTTACTTGTGATTTAGTGTTTACTTGTGACCTATCATTTCAAAGGTAGATAACAGTGGTGCATATTCTTTATGTAGAGAATACGGTGTAGAAACGTGTGTGTGTGTTTGTGTGGTGTGTGTGTGTGTGTGTGTGATGTGTGTGTGTGTGTGTGTGTGCCTTTATGTGTGTGGTTGTGTGTGTGTGTGTGTGTGTGTCGGTGTGGATGTTGTGTTGTGTGTGGTGTGTCTGTGTTGTGTTCAATGTATTATTATGCGTACGAACTTTATCAGGTAGGAAATATTTTCGAATAACACCCCCCCACCACCCCCACCCCCAAAAAAAATTCACCAGTTGTCAAGTAAGCTTAAGAGAGCCCCCTTTAACCCCCAGTAATACTATCTGGCACCGCATAAGCGCCTGACAGATGAGTGCCATGACAGGTACCTTCGCTGCCAATCCCGGACTCAGCTCTGAACCTTCTAGACCAATAATGGGTCACGGGCTGAGGGCTGAGGGTCATGACTAGCAAGCGAAGAGACACATCTCTACATATCCAAACTACATGTATATGTATCTATATCTAAATTATTCTTCTATACTTATTTATCTATAGCAGATATGAATGTATGTATAAAATGTATATTATTATATATATGATATATATATATAATATCTCTATTATATATTAATATCTACATATATACACAAATATATATAATACATATAATTATTTTTATTAGTTTAATATATATATATATTATATATATATATATATATAATATATATAATATATATATATTATATAATATTGCATGTGTGTGTGTGTGTGTGTGTGTGTGTGTGTGTGTGTGTGTGGTGTGTGTTGTTGTGTTGTGTGTGTGGTGGTGTGTGTGTGTGTGGTGTGCTGTTGTGTGTGTATCTATATATAGTATATATAATATATATTATATATTATTATATATATATATAAGAGAGAGAGAGGAGAGAGATTTGCCTGACTTTGAATGTGATGTGTGTGTTTGGTGTGGGTGTGTTTTGTGTAAGATGTGTTGGTTTGTAAAGATATACATAGATGCATGAATATGATCAATTTTTTCACGTGTATTTTTTTCTCTTCTCTTCTTCCTTCTTCTTACCCATTGTAACGCACTAAGAACAAACATTCACTAATCAATAACACACCACATTCTTCTTTGAACCGTACCTTCCAAGAGGCTCCACTATATACACACACTTACCTCAAAAAATAATTGAATAAAGTGGCTTCCAAGAGGCTCCACTATATAACTTACCTCAAAAAATAATAGAATAGAAAATAGAAAATGGAAACAAAGTACCTGACCCGCTGGTGCACTGGGGAAGGTCTGGGGTCGTGTGGTGGTCAGGTCGTGCAGGCAGGCGGGCAGGCTGGTGGCGCGGCGGAGGACAGGTCGTCGAGGTCGTCTCACAGGCTCGAGGGTGTCAGGGGTCACACAT